GGCCCCAAGATAAAGTTCTAGTGCATAAAATAGATGTGTTCTTGGAAGTACATTGCAACGCAAGCAAGTTCCTTATTTGAACATTGACTCTTTCACCTTTCAGAGATTGATTAACTGTGCCCCCCAAAAAATTGGTCATTATGCTTTTAGAATGTCAACCCAGGGATTCTTAGAATCACTCATCAAAACCTTCACAGGAGATGATATATAAATTAAAAATAATGGGATTCAAATAAGAATCTTAAAAAGCTGTGTGAAAAAAGTTTTGGGTTGGGAACTGAATGTATTTTGTGTTGTTATTTTTTCCCCAGTAGACACCACCACAACAAAAATACCTGTCTGTACCTGTTGTACAATATACACATTGCTGTAATTTCATTTTTAACATCATGCATATTTAACTAACTAATACAAAATTTACACATCCAGTAAATTGACTGCCCTCTTGGTGTTTCTTGTCATAGATGAATCAAGTGTATTATCTTTCTCATGTAGATACTATTGCAAACCAGAGGTGTCTGGTTTCTTTTTACTGGTCTCCAGACAGAACCTGTTTTGCAGCTATTGGCATGTTAACCAGAAGTGTATAGCCTTTAAATCTTTCCACTTCAGATCTGTGAGAAAAAATTACTGAGTGATGTCAAGGAGAGATTTTCTTTGTTTTGCCTTTCCTGTCCATTCTCCTCTGCACCACACAATTATGCACAGATGTGTTTGCTCTCTTGTTGTTTATACATTAGACTTTTCTCTGTAGTTAGAAGCTTTTGTTCACTCACTTTTCTTGAAACCTCCAGATAATGTTGCTGTCAGAAAGTCATTTTTAAAAAATGAACCTGTTTATTCCAGACTGGATTAATGGTGATATTTATTGTAACAAAATATTAGAGCATGAACCTATGGAAATATGGCTAGGAAAGTGGTAATAAAACTATAGTTGTGGTTGTTGTGTGCCTTCAGGTCATTTTTGACTTATAGTGACCCTATCATGGGATTTTCTTGGCAAGGTTTATTCAGAGGAGATTTGCCATTATCTTCCTCTGAGGCTGAGAGTATGTGACTTGCCCAAGATCATCCAGTGGGTTCCATGGCCCAGGGGGAAATCGAATCCTGGTCTCCAGAGTTGTAGTCCAACACTTAACCACTAAGCCACACTGCTCCACTCTTATGTTAAAGCCATCCAGCAAGGCTGGACCACTTTATTGAATCCCAGTTTGGGAGAAAGATAGACTATAAATCCAATAAATAATTAAAAAATTAAAAATATTGATTTCTATTGCACCCAGCTGAAATATTAGCTATGACTGGGTGATTGATTGATCCTTGAATAGTTCCATTGAATTGCCACAAAGGAATTTTTACTCTCATGGGGTGAGAAGAGGCTTACCCCAAGGGCTAATATTCTCTTATTTTTGTCTCTCTCTGTCCCCAACCAATATAAAATAATGTTCTAGCTTTATTAAAATAGAAAAAAATTAATTGGAGTTGCCAAAGAATTTGGCTGAATGAAAGTTTCTCATGAATAAGCACTATAAAAAGATGAGTGAATGAGACTGAAACATATTGCTGCATGGTGCAAATACTAAACAAAGTAATGTGCTTGATCTATAACAGACGCTGTAGCATGGATGGGAATCCTTCAGCCTACAAATCCCAACAACCCAACAACATCTGTGACCCACAACATTCCCATTCCTTCTCTACAGAGAATCCTCCTGGGAGGTGTTTCCAGGAAAACATTTGGCAAAATGGAGGTGCAGTGTTCAAATTAGAGGAGTCCCAAGGACATTGTGCTCCCTACCTTTTTTATTCTCTCGTCATTACCATTTGGAAGCTGTAGTGAGGGGCCTGAGACAAAATAAATCTGCTGTCAGACATAGTAAACCAGAGGTCCTCCAGATGCTGGAGTCCCAGCTAGCCATGCCAAGACAGGGATGGTGGGAGTTATTGTCCTGGATTGCAACAAGTTGCTCACTCCTGACTTAGGCTATCCATTTCTCACAAGATATATCTCAAACCATTTTCCAGTGAGACATGTTGGAATTTCCCTACTGGTATGTCTTGTCTACCAGATATACTATATATGATCGACTATAAGTTGACCTCATGTATAAGTCAAGAGCAGGTTTTGGGGCCAAAATTACGGATTTTGATATGAACCATGGATAAATCGAGGGTAAAACATAGGGACATGTAACAAAAGATATAAAGGACAAAGCAAAGGAAAATGATGCCAAAGGCCACCACAATT